AAAACTAAAACAACAGTCCCCTTAGGTAAAGCTTAAGCTGCATGGAATTTTTAAATGTATACATCGTGAATGAAATGCCTGTTGAAAAACTACATTGTAGTTATGTATACAGAGTAATAGGCCCCTCAGCTTAAATCAATCTTGAAGAGACAATTTAATTAAGAGGCACATGAAGATTTCCATGAATATTTGATTCATTTGGAAATATTTAATTGAGGACAAATGGAAGGGAAAATCCTGGTCTAATAACCCATGTAACTTATAGCAAGGCCATCTGTTTACATAGTAGCAAATAGTTATTTGATTGTGAATCTTCTACTTACTAAGCAATTGCAATAAAAAACAACGCAAAAAAAAGACAAAAAAACAACAACCAACAACTGAGATTTCCTTCTGAGATACTAAGACAAAGTTTGAAGTTACATCATGAGATATTCAAACAGTGTTATACATGGTCATGATATAAGACTTTCATAAAGCTCTGTGGTCCCATGTATTTCTTGATAAAATAGGGTACCATCATTTATTTCCTAAGATACTTGTGAGAAGTGAACACATAATGCATATAAATCTTCTGTAACAGAGCCTGGCAGAGAGTAAACACTCATCAATCTGAACTGATGTGGTTGTTGTAGTGGTAGTTTTTGTTGTCACATGCGCAGAAGCCCTCTCCTGAGTGAATGTAAAACTCCTACAACTGCTACTTCCTATGAATATGTATTTGCTGGCTAAGAAACCTCGTCTACAGAGAAAGTCTGATGTATACTTCAAACTACAAGGTTAATAAGCATCAGGATGTACGAGGATTCCCCCCAGTTTGCTTTGATCACTTTGACCCTGCTGCTCTAATAATTACTTTAAAACCCTGATCAATCATCTACCAAGTGCCATGTTAGCTGTTACCCTTGTTACAGCATTTATATTGTACAACAACATTAATTCATTTAGAGTAAGCCTACAACACAAATGTATTACTCCTCCTCTTCCACATTTAAGTGCGAGGGGGATTTTAAAAACCCTAACAAATGTTGGAGGAAAGGGAAAAGATCATTATAGCAGTGTGTGGAAATTATATGGCAGTTAAAACAAAACAATCCCTTACCTGCTAAAACAGCAAATAACAAATCAATAACAGAGAAACCTAAGGCCTTACTTTATACTAATGACTATCTTTTGGAGACAAATGATATAAACACCCAAAGCAGGAAGTGAAATTTAACATTTGAATTACTCTTGAAAAAGTAAATATTCAAAAAAAAAATCTGAATTCCACAACAGATCCAAATTAGTGTACAATAATATATCATCATTGATTATTAAGATGCTAGAGTATATAGAGATTGGTTGAAAGTTGAAACAATTAAATAAATTGCAACTTGATATAAATAAGAAAAGAGATATGTGAATAATGGTGAATGACTGAGAAACATAACAGAAAGAAGCAAAGAAGAGCTTACATGAGAATTTTTAGAGTGCTTGCTGGCTACTCTTTGTTGTTATAATTGAACTATGTTCAGGCCATTTTAAGATATGCCTAACTTTAGAAAAATAGGGTAATTATGAAATCTGGGTCACATGAAGTAATAGTGTAGAGCTGAGAGCTATCTGCCTGCCCATCCAAAATTGCTTTTCTGTCTTTATAGAGTTGCCTTTCAAAAAATACAAAATGAGAAGGGGAAAAAAGCACATTGTGCTTCTCCTCAAGACACATCTTCTAGGAAAATGATTCTACCTCTGGAGAATTTAAACTCGGGTGCTTTTCACTGTAAAAGTAATTTACACCCTACAAAATGAGGTTTGAAAGTGAGGTTTTTCTAATACATAGGCCAGCTTTCCATTTATATGCACAGGAGTTTCTCCATTTTCCTAGAGAAATAGGCTGAAAAATAGTAGCTAGTATTAGTCCACAGTACCACAGTCTGTTGTATCTTTTTAATATATTTGTATTGACTTTAGGGAGAAAGGAAGGGGAAAGGATAGAGAGATAGAAACATCAATGAGAGAGAAACATCAATTGCCTGCCTTTTGCATGCCCCTCACTGGGGATCGAGCCCACAATCCTGGCATGTGCCCTGACCAGGAATTGAACCAATGAACTCTTGGTTCATGCTCAATCACTGAGCCAAACCAGTAGGACATTCTATGGTATTTTAATTATATTTATAAATATCTTTATTAATAGTACTCTGTAATCTGGGAATGAGATTTTTATAAAAAGTAAAGGAAGAATTTTATTCAATTTGCACAAAATGTTTTGTGTGTCTACTCTGTGCCAAGTGCACTAATCTCAGTGCTGGGCTGTAGTGAGCAGGGTCCTGCCTACATAAAGCACAGATCTGGTGAAGATTAATTTTATTTGTTGGACAGTACAAGGCAGACACTAAGTAATATGATCAAGGGAATCCCTCTTTTTTTCTCCATTAACTTGAACCTCCCTATTAACCAGGACACCCAATTCGCTGATGGTATTACACATCTCTCATTGAAATCCCCATCTCCTTCATCTTTCAGGTAGCTGATGTGGACTCATGGGGCAATATACCCACCCTTATATCCACTTGCTCATGTCAGAAACACCCAATTTCATTGCTGTGATTTATTGCAAAGGAAATATGTTAGCATTGTTCAGCATTATCATCCTTATCACTTGGGTCAGAAAATATTCATTCCTGATCAATATCCATGTCAAAAGAAATCCCAAACTCTGACTGGTTTGGCTCAATGGATAGAGCATCAGCCCATAGACTGAAAGGTCCCAGGTTCAATTCTGGTCAAGGGCCTTTACCTTGGTTGTGGGCACATCCCCAGTAGGGGGTGTTCAGGAAGCAGCTGATCGATGTTTCGCTCATCAATGTTTCTAACTCTCTATTCCTCTTTGTAAAAAGTCAATAAAATATATTTTTTAAAAGGAATTCCCAAATATTAAGATATAAATCACAAAATAAAAATGGAAAACAATTTGCGGTGGCTTGAACATTATGGTGAGAAATTATAAAAGTGGAAAATCATCTGTGCAGAGCATTTTCTCCACTTCTAATGATGCTAAAAAACAGCTATTCTAAATCAACCTTCTCAAGACTTAAGCATTCTTCTATTTTCCAGGAAGTATACGTAAGATTTAATATAATTCCTTTTTGCTATTGCTTAAGTTCACTTTCTCTTCTTTTGTTGTTAATAGAATCTTGTTAAACCATTATACATGTTTGTTCAAAGAGTAAGGAATAAAATAGTATTTGGCATAATCCTTCCTCAACATAAAGGTAAATTAAAACATTAGGACTAGCATTTGAAATATATGACTTATTTAGTTTACACAAATCAAGTATAAAATACCAGTTATATGAGAGTGCATATTTATAAATGTTTCCTTATAATGAATTCATTTAGAATGAATATATCAGTGTCTACTTAGTAAAGAGAGGATGATATTTATAATTATGCAATTTGAGGTAGTTGATAATCTTACCATGTATCTGGCATTGGATTGATTGCCTTTATGTGGATTTTCTCGCTTACATGCCTTTACTTCTTTAATCATTGTGACTATCCTATAAAGTATAATCTCCTTATGAGGGAGAAAAAGAAGGTAATGCTGAAGGTGTAATTTGAACTTAGGGAGTCCAATACCAGACCATGAACTCTTAATCACTCTGAAAAATAAAGTATCCATTAGCCACTCATTTTGGGAAATTCATCCGCCACACTAACTCTTGGCTCGGTTGCCCTTGGGTTTGAAAGAATTAACTGCTGTGTTGACCTGGTTAAAGAGAGGCTTTCTTACTTTGTCTGTTATATGAATGTAATTTTACACATGGATGGATGAGTTTAGAATCTCACAGTGTTGGCTGCTGTGAAATTTTGAGTGCCCTCTTAAAAGATTGTAGACAGTTATCTGGACATAGATATGTAATGTACCCTTAAGTCTGTATGACCTACATTTTTTTTGTTGGAATGTAATTATCCATGATATGCATTTTGTAGAGAAAGCTTATGGACCTCTCTTTATTCTTGGGTCACAATAGCTATACATTTATTAAGGTGATGTGATGGCAGATGCATGATATTGTGAGACCTGCCAGTGGATTTGCTATTTGGATTCCAAAACAACCGTAAGACCAGTGATCAGCACCACCCACAGCTTTAGATGAAGTGCCTTGGGAAATGGCAGTACAGGACACACTTTGCTCCACATCCATTATATTCAAAGTGAAATGGAGCGCCAGTGACACGGGTTGAATGGATCCAGAGTATATACCGTGTTCCAGAATTACTTAACATTATTTAGATGGTTACTGACTTGGGCAGGGCAAGAGCGAGCTTCTGCACCCTAATTGTATTTTATGATTTTTCTGTGAAAATGTAAGATTTTTTTCTCCCCTCAACTTGTGATTATCTTATAAATGATGACATATACAGGGTGGGACAAACGTAGAAAAATAATACAATAATTAATAAATAATAATTAAATAATAAACTCTGTATTTCATGTACTCACCATTGTAAACCTACTTTTGTACCATCCTGTATATTACCATAGATATATAGACCTTAGAGGAGATTCTGTAGTGTATTGGACTATTATTCAAGAGTACCTAATTTCAGATAGTTTAGTCATGAGAAAACTGAAAAACCTCAATACTTGTATTTAATAAACAAAGTATAATAGCCAACTAATGAAAGCAAATGGCTTTTATAAATTCAAGTCTACACATACTTGAAATACAAGCTCTCTGCAGATTTATTCAAATTATTTGAGTGAACTACAGGCACATGTGTGTGCACAGGCACATTATATGAAGGACATGAGATTGGAATGGTTACTGTTCAATGAATTGATACTTGAATTTAATGTGGCTGAAAAAAAATGGCATTATACATCAAAAGGCATTGAACATTGTGTACCTTTTCATGATCTACTTGCCAATCACATGAGATGTTGACAACACATTCTAACCATTAAATATGAGCCTGGTCTTCTCACTGTTATCCTCTGCCTACAGGTTGTATATAAAAATAATGATGTAAGGTTGGAATTATCTCGACTTGCCAAACAAGGAGACCCTAAGATGAAGATCCATGGAGTAGTGGCATTTAAATGTGAGAATGTTGCAACTTTGGACCCAATCACCTTTGAAACCCCAGAGTCTTTCATCTCTTTGCCTAAATGGAATGCAAAGAAGACAGGCTCTATATCATTTGATTTCCGCACAACAGAGCCAAATGGCCTCATCTTGTTTAGCCATGGCAAGCCAAGACACCAAAAAGATGCCAAGCACCCACAGATGATCAAGGTTGACTTCTTTGCTATTGAGATGCTGGATGGCCACCTCTACCTCCTCCTAGACATGGGGTCAGGTACAATAAAAATCAAAGCCCTGCAGAAGAAGGTGAATGATGGAGAATGGTATCACGTGGACTTCCAGAGAGACGGACGGTCAGGTAATCTATCTGTTTCCTGTGCTGTTTATATGCTGGAATATCCCATGCACCCCACTCCTTTCTTAACGAATTAAAACCAAACCATATGAAAGATTTCCTGCATTTCTGTCTGTAAGGTAGAGGAAATTATCTGTTACTATTTTTGTTTCACATCATAGAAGGAGCTAATTAATCATCATAGTTGGGCATAAAATTCCAAATGCTCAAATGGCTTTTTAAGTGAATATTTATTGGATAATCACGTGTCAAACCTTGCAAGAAATTTTATCGTGAATTTACAAGTGGCAAAATTTAGTGTTCTGGCATTACCGATGATCTCTTACATCATTGGGTGTTTGGAGGTGCCTGAAATGGCAAATATAAATTATATTAAAAAGTGATTATCCATACATAGAATCCTTAGTTTGATACAGCATGCTATTTATCCAAGTTAGGACGAGGGTATCAAAAAGCACTTTAATTAATATAGCTGTATTTCAAGGACACTGGCAAAACTACTGCCTTCCAAATCACTTTCCTTTCTGGTGAAAGATGTTCGGAATTCCACCAATAGGGATTCATTTCACCTGGGTTTTGTTTTGTTTTGTTTTGTTTTCTGCACCTTTTCTCCTGAAGCTGTGAGTGTGTGTGTGTGTGTGTGTGTGTGTGTGTGTGTGTGTGTGTGTGTGTGTTTGTCAGGGAAAGAAAGGGACTTGTAGGGAAGGTCTAAAAGAATATAATTTTTTTACTCTGAGGTTTTGAAGTGGGGTAGGGAACATAGCAGGGCTGGGGAACGTCCAGCCCACAGACCTTATTAGGTCCATGAAATAATTTTGTTTGGCTTTGCCAGTGTATTAGGGTGAGTTAATTAAATCTTTGACCAAATATAGCAGGGTAATTTTTAACTTGGTAATTTTGTATGGCCTGCCAATGAAGTTATAAATATGCAAATGGCCGTTGGCAGACAAAAGGTTCCCCACTCCTGGGTCATAAGAAGATGGGTAGCATGGGAGTCGGGGTGTGGGGTGAGTTGCTATTTAGGCCAAAATCACAGCATTTGTGAAAGATGAGGAGGGCAAGCAACTTGTTTCTCTATATACAACTATATATTACTTCTTTTACCTTCTTCACTCTGTGCTTCCAACTCTGATTCTCTCATTTACAAATCAAATTACATTCTTCTAATAAAAGACCACTGAATTGAGACCTAGCCACTCTCCTCCTCTCCCACCCCAAGTCTCTCATTTGCACATATACTATACTATTCACTCTGGATTTTCCAGTAGAAACTTGGCCAAGGCATTTTGGGAGGCCTGGATTGCTTGCTTTGTAAAACATATTGGGAAGACCAATTTCATTGCATCCCAGACCCAGTGAAGTGGGGTGGATCAACAGCGATGGGACCTAAGATTCTATATTTCTTGCAAAGTTTTCCAGCGGACTTAATGATCAGCCAAATTTGAGAGTCACTAACCAGTTGACACTTAGTGCTTCTTTCAGATCCAATAGTCTGTGATTACCATCCAATTTGAGAAGGGCCATATACGCATTTGTCATTGGTTACTTCTCTTTAATAGGACATTTTCAGATTTCATTATTATTTATACCTTGTTTTCCTGTTTACAAATCAAGAAGGTTGTGTTTCCCTTCCTAGAAATACCTTTTTGTTTTCCTTTGCACAACAAAATAAATACATGGAATGTATAGAAATTAGGAGGGAGTTGGCAGAGAGGAAGGAGAATTGAAGAAAGCTCAGAACCCCAGGTATCTCAGATACTCTGTTTCTGATTCCTCACTCTCTGGGAACTTGGTCTCTCTATGTTGTTATTCTTTCATTTCCCTACAGAAATCCGTAAGGACAGTGGTTACCATTCTGTGCAGTTCATGCTATGTTGTCATTTTTTCCCAGGTGTCTTAGATAATTGATAGTAGACAGCAAAATATTCTCCTTGACTGCTCTACTATACAGATTCCATTAGAAATTCGATTCCTCTATGTTTTTCTAATCTAATAAGTAGAGAAGAGTACATTGGTGCAAATACAGTGATACTGCAATAGAGTGAGTGCCTCCCTTTGGCTTCCCTCAGCCTATTTCTAGAGTTAACTGTTAATTTGCTACTTAGGAACTTTTAAACAGAAGATGTAGAGGAGGATAGGCACATGGATTAAGTCTCTGTTATGGAATATTAACTGTGGATATTATAGTTTGACTTAAAGTACATCTAGAATAAAATTTTGAAATTTATTTATGAGAATATGTAGGTTTTTAGACTTCATTACAACCTAATACATAACAAATTAAGTGGACAACATTTGGAAGATCAGAGAGAAAAATAATATCACACTTCATATCACACAGTTGTATTCCATCCCCATGGGAATGAAATATTTTCTAATTATTTGAAGAAATAGATGGTTAATGTCAAAATTTTAGGAAAATAAAACCACTTATTATTTATTTAATAATGATGACTTATACCTGGATATTTTTCCTGTTTTTCTAACACTTATTTTTAATTATAGTTCATATACAATATTTTATTAGTTTCAGGTGTACAAAATTGTGACTTAAATTTATGTAGCTTATGCAGTTATCATCACAATAAGTCTAGTAATTATCTGACTCTTTCCAGACCTAAGTGGTAAAACAATCTAAATAGTTTCCCCAAGTTCTTTGGATGACCTGGTACAATAAGGATCATATAGATACCTTAATCCACAAGCAGAATAAAATCTACTTTTTCGGTTTAAAGTTCTTTAATTCATTCAAATACCAAAAGTTTGTTAACTGTTCTTCTTATACCCTCATTGAAAAAGGTCAAAGCTAGATGGGAAGAAGAAAGAGATGCCTTTAAAGAGTGCTAAAAAATAAAACAAATAAAACATGAGATTTTTGATGGAACCTAATGGAAAATTTAAGTTACTTTCTTTGGTGTTGTTTTCATGGCAAAGTACTTCTATGTGATTATAATTTTAGATTAGTGAACTGGAACAAACACTATAAAAATCAAAACTTATTCACCAAACCAAGTTCTGCTCTTTACTAAATTGGAAAGAAAAAAGAAAAAAAGAAAAAAAAAGCTCATATTATGTTGGCCAAGCTCAAGGGATTTAATGTAATTTTAATAACTGCAGCTGTTAATATTTTATATATAGTATTTTTAATGAAGTTCTATATTTACACACTAAATTGGTTTGATATAAAGCAGACTTTAAAAGATTGAATGAAGAGCTATGCTAGCTTTTATTTTACTTAAAGGATATTTTTTTAGTTAAGCTGGTGAGACATGAACATTTGTAACTCAGTTAAAACTAGGAAACATATAATTTCAAGGAGTAATTTATTTTATTCGTTTTTTATATCATCTATTTTAGAAGCTATATGAAAATTACTCTTAATATAATGTGAGGAAATGATATTGCCAAGACAAGAAGGCAGTGTGGACTGTTTTCTAATTCATGAACAATGAAGGTCTTATCTATTGATTTGTCTGGAATACTCCTTAGTACTATATTTAAAAACATGTAATGAACCATATTTTTTTGTTGTTATAAAGGAAGAGGCACTCACTCTTTCTGAAAGCAGTTTAAACTATATTATGGGATAATAGGTCTTGTCCCTCTTTTAAGGATACAATCATTTAAATATATTTTATTGATCTAATGTAGAGAGAGCCCAGACCTAAGAGTTATTTCTCCTGCTATTGACCATGCAAAAAAAAAGCAGGAATTGTAAGGTTCAAGGCGCAGGAAACAGAAGCCGGAAACCCAGATATATTAAAGGGAATAAGAACCATGGCCATTAATTTGATGCTAATAACTTTTGGTTATCTTGGTTGGAGATAGGGTTAAAATTATATTTGGTGGTAGACTTTTTTTTAAAAATATTCTGCAAATGTTTTAAAATGGAAACCTATGTATGAGAGGCAAATTCTTATTTATATTTATGCCCACAGGTACCGATACTTTCTTGTGCAATAGCAGTGGCTCATTAAGTATGTGTTATAAGAAAAAAGAAAGAATAAAAACATGTGAATGGCTCAGAAGCAACCCGCTCGTAATGTTTTAAAATAGTAGCATTATCCTTACATCTGAAGAGTAGTAGCACTCTTTTAGTTGTAAATGAAAAATTTTTTTAGTTAATATTTTTCATTTTTTTTAGGGAGAGTGGTAGAGAGAATGAATGACAGAGAGAAACATCAATGTGAGTGAAACACATTGATTGTTTGCCTCCTACATGAGCCCCAACCAGGGCACCAGGGCCACAGAGACGCCTGCAAATAAGCCATGTGTCCTTGATTGGAATTGAACCCAGGACCCTTTGGTCTACAGGTGGATGCTCTATCCACTGAATCAAACCATCCATGATGTAAATGTAATTTTTTTTAAAGGAATTACACTACTTTCTGAAAGCAGTTTACACTATACTATAGGATAATAGGTCTTGTTCCTCTCTTAAGGATACAATATCATGCTTCAAACCCAGGAATGATGGTTAGCCTGGCACAAAAATGACAAGCTTTTATGAGAATAGGACTGTTACCCCTGCTATTTATAAAGTCCCGATGCCATTTAGCAAACATGTGGGTAGGAAGAAAATTAATTACAAGGGACTGGGATATACAGCTACAGATTGAATGCTAGTGACAAGGAAGATAGTTACAAAGATATCCATCTTTCTGATGACATACTTTTCAGTCCTTTGTTCAATAAAAGACTGGCATATGAGCCCCTTATTTGATGAGAAATACTGTCTTCATCTGAGTACTTTACTAGGACTCAATATCAAAACAATGAATTGCATTGGGTTATATATCCCTATTCTCAATCTCTGACATGGGAAGGAGAGAAGCATTTTAATTTCCACACTTGGATTAATATTGTTTGGGCACAGCTGTTCTCTCTGTATAATGTAGCTTCTTACATGCTTAGTCTGTTACCAATGACATAGGAGACCAAATAGGCTGAGCCATGGGTTGCATTTTCAGATCCTACACTACATTGGTAGAGGAGGGACCATA